ATGGCACTTAGAAATATACCAAGAGGATTGTCAGATGAAAAAAAGTGTCTGAGAGAGAAGCCAAAGGATGTGGCACATGAGGCCCCCCCAGTATAGAAGCACTTTTTGCAGTCGGAAAGTTTAATTTAATCCGGAGTGGAGCTGTCAGGCTTTCGTCAATCCTTTGGAGTGCAACATGCCTCCGTCTTTCATTTGGAAACGGTACCGATGGTAATCAGGTTTGTGGATTTCTCCTCAGAAGCCTTTCTCGTATCAACTACGTAACAGACACCATCAAATAGGCTCGGGATGGAGTGAGGTTGTTTCTGTTAGGAAACCATCCAACTCTTACAACGTCACCATTCGCCCTTTCTCATGGTAAATCGCATCGAAGAAGAGAAAAGTTGGAAACCCACACGTTGTTCTGAGGAAACTGGCAGCTGACAGATTGCTTGTACTCATAACTACTACTCCAACAAATGAATAAGCGAATTACTTAGATAACTCAAAAACAAACTGCTGACTCATATTGGTGTTAAAAGGGTGCGCTCATATGAGTCCTTCTATGAATCCGATCGAGGAGAAAACATGTCGTCGAAGCAGGACCCCTTCGCAAGAAGGCACTCAAACCAGATGCCCTAGGGCAAAACGTGGGCTCACTGACGCCAAGTTGGGTTGTCACTGTGCAGATAAACAACTACTTCCAACTCTCGATCTTTTGCTCGAGGTTCAGCCTCCAGTTCTTACCTTCGCTGACCGTTCAGGCGGCAACTTGGACTCGAACCAAAGCCTTCAAATGGAAACGACTGATGCAAGTGCACTTTAAGGGTAAAGTTTGTCATTTTAATGGCAACATAGGATCCATCTGTAATTTGTAAAATTTTATGCAAAGAAATCACATCCAGATCCCATTCTCAGTGTTGGAAATGTTAGAGTGAGGACGTGACACACACCCAGGGAACTCGCTCTGCCTATGATACCTTGAAGATAAGGCTCATTACCAATATATGGGATTCCTAGGCTTAAGAATGAGACGGCTCCGTCAGGAAACACTACGGAGTAGCAATTAAAAATATCCTTTTTTGAAGGTCAAACTCAGTCCTGACAGCAACAGCAACGGAATGTTTTTCTTATTCGAGCTTTTAAGAGCAGCTAGGAACATGACGTCCTTTCACCCACTGATTATGCAAAGCTCCCGCTTTATTTTCTCCAAACAGCATGTTTCCCTTTTTCAAACTCTATCCACATGTCTTTTATGCAAGTCAAGTACGAAAACTGAATTGGCAGGCTGAGCTAGAAAGCTGGTGCATTGCTATCGAGAGACTAAGTCCACCCCCTTAAAGGCCTAGTTCACCTAAAATGGTTTCTGAGATTTGGGATGAACCTTTAACCCACCGCAGGGATAGCATAAAGGACGTCGTTGGATCAAAAAACGAGTGGCGTCATATGAACTCTCATACCGGCTATGCTGAGTACCCACCCAAAGGCAGCGGAGCTCTCACGGCGTTCTTAGGGCTGCAGAGGTTGCACCATTCGCATCGGGACGCACACGTTGCACTCAGGCAGCTTACTGTAGGCTGTACGCAATTACACACACGCCGTTTTTCGCGTTTTCTTCGCCACGTTTGCATTATTTTGGACTTACTTTATTCTTCTAAAAGTAAATACTCCAAAATTATCGTGAACTCAATCTGACCAACTGAATTGTATTTCTTAGTTAAAGTCCAAAGTTGCTACATGAAAAATCGAGAAAAATAGGGCGCTTTGGAAATGCCTGGGAAAAAACATTTAAGGCATTCCACTAGAAACCTGATGACTTCAGTTCCCGCAGGGAAGAAGAAGGGTCAGTCAGTCAGAGTTGCACTTAAAGCATTCTCCAGGGATTGAAAAAAAGCGACAAGAAGACCGTAGCCTCCATTGCCCTTTTCAACCATAAGAAGTACTGATTACAGAGTTGGCTGGGAATTCCTCGCAATTGGCTTCTCACGTTGAACAACTAACAGCTTGCAAGAATCTCGTATTTTCGCTCAGAATGTCACTTCAGAAATATCAGCAATAATAGCATTTGCACAGGTTCAGGTATTAATAATTAACATGCAGGCGTCTCTCTCTCATGAATTCATCAGAATACTTTCCTTTTTGAGACAGAGCCACTAGTAAGAACCAGAGAAACTGCAGTTGGTTTCAGGAAAACTGGGTTCTCAAGAAAAATCAGTCAGCTGCCTGGCTCCAACACCCTTACTAAGCGCATGCGACAATCG